CCCCCCTTTGCAAGCAAGCACTCTTTTGTTCAGTAAAACAGTGTCTGCAGGTCTCGTCTTCTGCATAAAGGGAATCGGAGCAAAGACATCATGAACAGCATCAAAATTCTACTCACAGAAATGAAAACTCTTGAACACCCACTATTCAAAGCACCGCAGATGCCAAGATAAAAACCATATGATGATGAGCTGTCCTAACAGGAGAACATGGCATGAAAAGTTGTCTTCAGACCAAGAACTCAACTCACATAAAGATACAGAAAACATAAAAGATGTTTAATCCTGTCCCCGTCGTTTTATGCAAGAAAAATTCTGAAATTAATGCAAACTGAGCCCAAAAATGTGAAATTATGCGATTCTGTTAATTTTAACAAAGATTGATAAAGGAAAATAATTTAGAAATTATGCGAAAAAATAATAAAATTTTGCTAAATTATTTATGCGGGGGTGCATAAAATCACAGGGACAGTTCAACTACTTCAACTACCAATATGTCAGTGTGGAGAAGTGGACCAAACTGGTGGAACGCATCCTTCTGCAGTGCAGGACACACAGAGCCCTGAGACAGGACACACGCACGCACACACACACACACACACACACACACACACACTCACGCAAACACACACACTCATACACACACACAAACACAAACGCGCGCACACTCCCACACACATATATACACACACACACAAACACACATGCGTGCACACACCTTTCACGCACACACTCGCACCCATATCCTCCAGCAGTGCAGGACACAAGAGCCCTGAGACAGGAAATGTGACTAACCCCACTGACACTACAGGATAAGCCATCCTAAGCTGTATGGGCTGACAGACAAACTGAGCAGGACAGCTCGATATTTGTGAGGCGTGCTGACAAAATGAGTTGCTTAGAGTTTTTGCAATCCACAAATGGAGATATTGGCCAAGAATCAACACTACAGTCCATTTTGAAGATTTTCTCTATTGATGGCTTTTCTAAGTGTATAACATGCCAATTATTATTCCATACATAAATTAATTGTAAAAACGTCACCTATATAAGTGGGACGTATTCCGTAAGGCTCGTATCCGAGAAATAAATCATTTTGTCTGCTCGCTTCACATGTGATAGATACGAGACTTCAAGTGTGATGCTATAGAGAAGAAGAAGAAGAAAGAAATTTTATGCAGAGATTGGATTTGAGGAGCCAGTTTAGTTACAATATAAAACATTAACATTTGCTCCAGTTTCATGTTTTTTGACTTGGCGAAGGTGAGTAGGGTAAATGTTAGCTCCACCTTCTCTACCTTGTAGTTTTCTGCAGAATGACACTTCATCATACTTAATGTGTATATATATATATTTTTGCTTTTAATCTTATTCCAGGTGGAGATTTTAAAAGACAAAATATGGCGAAAGGTTCAAACATGGACGTCGAGGACAGCTCTGATTGTGAACGTGGCAAAGTTGGTAAAAAGCGACACAATACTCGTAGTCTGGATAACCCTATGGTGACTACGGACAGTTCAACAACAGGCAATGACTCCAACAAGTGCCACGAGGAACTGCAAACTAACACTGAGGAAGAAAGACGAAGAAAAGCAGCTTTGGCTGCCAAAAAGCATCATGCTTGTGCCAAGATAAAAAGGGCCAAATTAATACAGGTTTGTTCTCTCCTTGAATATATCCTGGACGTCTAGTCTCAAGAAAAGTCCCTCTTTGTTTAAACAATTTATGTTGGATTGACATTAAGATCATGGAATCGACAGTGAAAACAAACATTAAGTTTGCTAGTTTGTCGTGTCTCAAATATTCAGACGTGCACTAATGTCATCACACTCATTCAATAATTGCTTAAGTCATTTTCGGGGCAGACTGAGCTATGGCCTCATTTAGATATTTTGATTAGTTCCCCAGATTTCTGTCAAAACTTGTTTTAAACTTTGAATTTTAATAAATACAACGAAAATTTTTAAAAACAAAACTATGTGTGTCATGTCTGTTGTCTAAGTGCAACTGTTTTTGTTCTTTTTCTTAAAACGCAAAAAAATGACTTGGGCAATTATTGAATGAGCGTGACGATGTGCTTTCTATGTGATTTGTGATCTTATACATCCCTTGACAAGTTGGGGGGGGGGGGGGGAGAGGGGAAGGGGGGTTTGGTTGGTTCCTTTGACAAGTTTTTACATAAGTTTTGTTCCATCGATGAATTTTTCTTTTTTCTGCTGGAAGGTAAATTTGATGTTCTGTAAAATGGGGGGTGGGGGTGGGGGAGTAGTCGTGTTGTGGATTATTCTTGCTGGTCTTACACTAGTTTACCCACACACGTACAGTCAAACGTGCTCTAATGGCCACCTGCTCAAAAAATTAATTTACCCACACTCGTACAGTCGAACGTGCTGTAATGGCCACATGTCCAACAGACAACCACTTCCTCTTCCTTCCTTGTGTTTATTTTATATCCTGTCTACACTCCCCAAGGTGTCCGCCTGTCAAAGACAACCACTTCCTCTTCCTTCCTTGTGTTTATTTTATATCCTGTCTACACTCCCCAAGGTGTCCGCCTGTCAAAGACAACCACTTCCTCTTCCTTCCTTGTGTTTATTTTATATCCTGTCTACACTCCCCAAGGTGTCCGCCTGTCAAAGACAACCACTTCCTCTTCCTTCCTTGTGTTTATTTTATATCCTGTCGACACTCCCCAAGGTGTCCGCCTGTCAAAGACAACCACTTCTCCCTTTGACAATGGCTGGCTGTCTTGGACAACAATTTAGACTGTGTTTAATGTTTTTCTTGTCGTTGTCCCCCCCCTGCAGAAAAACGAGGACTTGTCGAATGAGCAGCTCCAACTACTGAGGGACATCGACCGACTGATGGAGAAACAGGAAAGGCTTCAGGATTTATTAGATCACCACAACTGCAGCGATGATCAAGATACTGCACATCAACTTGACATGCGTGAGCCGAGCTGGAAAGAAAAAGACAATCTTCCAACGACTGTGCGACCTGAAACTGTCTCCTTACACAGTCCAGAACAGGCTTCACAGAGCAGAGTCACATGTGACATCGGCCTCGAAACAAAGTCAGTCGAGTCAGATTTGGTGGCTGAGGACGAGTCGGAACAGACTTTGTCATCCCAGGTCAAAAACACGGACAAGACAGACAGCGAGGATCTGCAAAAGTCTACAGTCATCTCCCCTTGTAGGTCGAGAGAATCTTCACAAAATGGAACAGTTCAACAGAATGAAACAGTTCCGCAGAATGAAACAATTCACCAGATTGAGAAAGTTCAACAGAATGAAATAGTTCAACAGAATGACTTCCAGAGACAAGTTCAAATGTTGAGAAGCAAACCAATTTGGACCCATCCAGTGGACTTACCTGGTAAAAAAGACGTTGAACTGATGGAGGCTTTGTGCCACAACTCTAAGTGGATGTCTGGAACAGTCGTAACTTTTGACAAGGTGGGCAAGTCGGTTGACGATGCAGCTCAAGCGTCAAAACAGTCAGGTGGTAGATCTAAGTCGGAGTCGGCCTGTGCATCCGCTCAGTTGGCCCTGGTTCCAGAAGTTCTCAGGAGTGGCCGCCAAGAAATCTTGCGGGCAAACGGTCAGACCCGACATAATTCAGCATCGTCTTCCCGGAGACCAAAGCTGGCTCAGGTCCAAGTGGTCCGGCGTGTCAGTCACGAGGAACTGTCTGCGTCTAGTGCCGGTCAAGGTCACAAGTTAGATCCGCTGTCGAGTCCAGTAGTGATGATTTCTGAGGTTGACAACGGGAAAGTGTTTGAAACTGTCGTGACAAGACCTCAGACCTGCACAGATTTAGTGAGCGGCCAGGGAAAGAAGAGTGAGAAATTGTTGGCAAGTCTGAGAGAGACACGTTTCCAGTCAGTGGAGAGACCAGCTGTTGGTGTGCAGAAGTTGAACACACCTCCAGCCCATCACATAGCCACACATGTGCTGAGGGGTCTTCCTCTGAGCTCCCAGTCGGGTGAGGTCAGGGTGGAGAAGTTGCCCACGACTGTAACGGAAGGAATGACGCCACTTGATCAGCAGGTGAAGGAACAGACGCCAAGGGGCAGCTCGGAGAGACAGAAGCATGTTCTTGTGGAGGAGCGCGGGGAGAGACAGAAGTGTGTTGTTGTGGAAGAGCGCGGGGAGAGACAGAAGTGTGTTGTTGTGGAGGAGCGCGGGGAGAGACAGAAGTGTGTTGTGGTGGAGGAGCGCGGGGAGAGACAGAAGTGTGTTGTGGTGGAGGAGCGCGGGGAGAGACAGAAGTGTGTTGTGGTGGAGGAGCGCGGGGAGAGACAGAAGTGTGTTGTGGTGGAGGAGCGCGGGGAGAGACAGAAGTGTGTTGTGGTGGAGGAGCGCGGCATCAAAGCTGAGAAAGGGGAACCTGTGTTGTCCGCGGAGGAGAGAGCTGTGTCGGACGTGTTTACCCAACGCCGTGCTGGTGGGGTGGGTTCCTGCACTGGTGGGGTTTCTGTGAGCGCTGATGGGGTGTGTGTCCGGCCTGTGCTGGTACAGGAGTTCCTCAAGGTCGACCCCGCCGTGGTGGAAGGCCGTGCGGAGAGGTCATCGGCTTTACCTCCGCAAAGCTTGATCGGGATCGTTGCAAAGGGACCTTGGAAAACATCCTCAGACTTCGGACTCAAAGCGTTTTCGGATTCCGCAAGACGTAAGGTCACTCCAGTGACAGTGAACGGTGATAAGCCAAAACTGGAAAGTGTAACCGACCGACATATTGGTGGAGACAGAGAGAAGTCTCCTCAGACGCTGATATTGCGTCCTGTTGACTGTGTGAAAGTTGAAGCTGTGCACCATGTGCATGTTGACCAGTCTCATCTGCCTGTCTTCTGTAATTCTCCAGATGGCGATGCCGCAGCAACAACCCAAGACCTCTCGCTACCTTTGACGAAGACCTCACCAAAACCTTCCTCTGGTTCTACGGACATGAATATTCCTGTATTTATACAAGACTGTGTGGACACTATGGACTGCAAACAGAGTGTGGTCAGTGTAGGAAGTGTTTCAAAAGCTACGACGTCGTGCATGTTTACACCGCCTGCCCCAGTGCTCTCTCAGCAGGTTGGCAGCGGCTACCGCTTCCTGTTGGAAATAAATGAAGACGGCATCAAGAAAACGTACCCCTTTCCTTTTGCGAATGCCCCAAAGTTTGTGACTTCTTCGACGTTTTCCGAATCCAGCAACACTAAGGCTGTGTCTATTTGTTCTGTGAAAACAGCAGCAGTAGCAGCGGTCACATCTCTGCCCGATGTGTCGGAAACACCGTTGGAAAAAAAGTTTTCTGTACAATCAAGTACGGCCAGAATGCCAGACGAAGCTCTCTCGATAAAACAGAAAAATCTGTTGCCATCTACGGATATCTTCGGTGAATTCAGCAGCCCGGAGCCCCTAACAAGCCAAGAAAAAATTAGTTCGTTTTCAAAATTCGGGAACTATGAGAAAAATCCTTTCAGGACATTTGTACCAAAAAGGAGCCCGTGGACAGCCGCGTCTCTCCGAACAGCGCAGTGTGAAGGAAAAGTGGAGAGGACTGGTCAAGATGAGTCGGCGGACTGGGAACATGGGAAGGTGTCAGGCAGCACACTAACAACTGCTCCTCTGCCCACCAATCTAAAGGAGCATCGGAAGGCCAATGTGAGTGTTTTGAGCTTTGATACCACCGCGAAGAAGAGGAGAGTATCGGCCGAAGCCACACATTCTGTCGTTCCGTCACAGCCCACAGCGGGAAAACGGACAAAACTGGTGTGTGAGAGCGAGAGACTGAATAGTGCGGCTGCAAAGCTAAGAGCTGGTAAAAAGACCAAGTCTCGTATTTATAAACCAAGATTTCACCATCTTGAAAGAGCTGTCAGTATAATAAGTGAATCTTTAGTACGGTAATTATTGATAATAATAACCTATAATTTAGAATAATATATTAATATAATCATATTGTTATCTACTGGTACCTTTATTTTGTCTCGATTCCTTCTATCTGTTCTACCTCTTGTATTGAAATTACTCACATATTCTCATATTGTCAAGTCTTGTATGTATTCAGTTTATATTGGAACATATCCAGAAATAAGTACTGATAGATAAATTACATTTTATTGATCCTTGTGGGGAATATGGGTTACATTGGCAAACATACGTACGCGTAAACACATACATTCAAGGACACAATTTATATGTATAAAGATGACCAAGTACATTATATTACACCAATGCAGACAATTTTACCAACATACCAGTACCATTGTATTGTGACGTGCTGTCTTTTTTAGCGGGTTTAAGGACACGTCCCACTGACCACCCATATAAACCTTATGTCACCGACACTTGCTTAATGCTATTTTTGAATCTGAACTCACTGACCCTTCAGCCACTGGTGCCCCCATGTAATAAGAAACACCCAAGAAACTATCACTTCTTACGGTGACCATTTTCACAAATTTGTCCAGTGGGCTTATTTCAAAGCATTTTAAATCATCTTAATTAAGCAGTTGAAGTTTATAATTTATATAGGAAGTTTGATTGAACTGTACTAGCTATAGCAGCAACTCCGTTTGTCGGGTTTGTTAACCCTATCCCTACGCCCTGGGGTCATTTTGTACCCCGGGGGTTCTATTCTTCACATTTTAGAATATACTTCTAGTACGAAGGTCTCTTTGAAACTTTCAGTATTTCTCAAAAAATCATTTTGACAGACTGCTATGCAAAGCGTACGGATAGGATTAACGAGTAAATTTCCTCTTTTGAAAGTGGTGGCACAGAATTCCCCACATCTTAGTAAAACACAACGTACGGATAGGGTTAAAGGACAACTGACTGTGTACACATTTAAATGAAAGCATTTTTACCCACATGTTACTATCTGGCATCATCATCTATGCAACATGATTTCACTCGTATAAATTGTGTGGGCAACAGGCAGAAGACTGAGGTCTTTAAGGGTGATAATAAATCATTGTATAAATATCATTTCTATAAATAATGCCCATTCCCATACAATACAGCTCTAGGCACTTTATCATACATAAAGTTTTTGTTCCATTCATTTAATCACAAAATAAGTGTGTGAATATGCATACACATTCTCTTAGATTAACTCTAACACATAAGCCATAAGCAGACATTTATAATAATTTTTATATTATCACAACACAATATATATATATATGAAGATATGCACATCTCATTATTATGACTACAAGAGTACACACGACATGTGCTATGATGAATGAGAAGGACTAACCAGGAACTTTTACGTAGGGACCAGGTGTATTATAAAGTATATTTTATATCCGTCATTATGGTGACTGGGTTACTACTTATAATAAATACTCACATACTTACATACGACTCAATTGGTCGCTTTTACGCACAAGGAGGCTATCCCGAAAAATGCTGTTTTGAGAAAATCGAAGATAAAGTTTTTGCCCCTTTTGTTCAGTTTCTTTAAAAGACAAGGAGAGTTTTTTTTTCTTTAACCAATCAAATATACACACCAAGGAAACCAAACTTCTCCTATAGGTAGGGCAATGCCCACTTTTGGTGTAGGTCAAGATTTCTGGAAACCCCCGAAATCCGGGGTTAGCCCGCTTGTCCTTAAAAGCGGCCAATTCATAGTAAACCATCAGCCTGAGTGAGTGTTTTGGCAGCTCAGAGACTCAAATAGTAATAGTAAGTGTCCGGTGGTTAGGGTGGGATAGCACTTCTACTTCTGACATATCGCGACCTCAGTGCTTTCTTTTCCTATCTCCATTTTTTAAAAACTTTTAACAGTGAAAATGTATAGATTGTGAAGTGCATAGAGCTTGCTGTTGAGCGGGGATCTGCGCTATACAAATGCAATTTATTATTATTATTATTAAATGTGACTTCTTCATAAGCTCACTCTTTGTTATGAACTGTTTTCACTGTTATTAAGAATGGGGATAGGACAAGAAAGTACTGAGGTCACGATTTAGTCAGATTGTAAGAGACTAGATTACATGTTCAACCAGCTCATATCGCAAGAAACCATAAAGTATTGTCCTGTGATCAATTTCCAGTAGACTCCTGCACAGCGTCTACCCTCTTTTATTCCGTATTTTTCCAATGTTCATTTCTTCATGTACTTCTTCAATGTGTTTTACTTTGAAAGAAAAATTGTATTTTTTGTTCTTTATTCAGTTTTCTCTGACAAGTGTCTGCTATTGTGATCAGCCCCCCCCCCCCCCCCTCGGCAGTACTACTGACTGAAGTGTCTTTAGGCCATTCCCAAAGGAGGGATATTAACATGTTCTTATGCTCAGTAGAATTGTAAATGGGCTGATTTATCAAATGTCATGCTCACACTGTGCCGAAACAACATAAGGGGAGCGGCTTCTTTTTCGACATTGAGAATTTGAATTTCGACAACATTTTTCTCGAGCATATATATGCAAACAATATCACAGATTTAGAAACTGCAAGCGAAACTTTTTCAAAATTTTGAGCATAGCTCTGTACACCTGAACAGCTGCTGAAGTCATATAATAATATTGTATTTTTTAAACGAAAAACTAGAGCGGCGTACATGTATGTTCTTTGCACTTTTCACCTTCTGGCGTCTGTGGTGTATTGGTTAAACACTTGGCCATTGCACGCAGAAGGCTTGAGTTCGATTCCCATATGGCGAAGCTTTGTTCTGAAGTACCTCCTTCTGTTTGCTGGGGCCTGTGCTTGGCCCGGCCCTGACACTCACTGACACTGACAGACATAGTCAAAGTCAAAGAGGTCTGCCTCCTACGGAACAATCTAAATTATGTCGATGGTGCCATAAAAATTCTGCAGCTACTATTACTTTTGAGTATTGAATCATTACTGTACATGTGTTACTTTTGACTTTGGAATCATTACTTTTCATATATTACTTTTGACTTTGGAATCATTACTTTTCATATAATACTTTTGACTTTGGAATCATTACTTTCCATGTATTTCTTTTGACTTTTGAATCATTACTTTTCGTATACTACTCCTGATGCTTGCAACATTATTTTCCATAATATTACTTTTGACTTTTGAAACGTTACTTTTCATAAATGCTCTACCTTGTCTTGTTGGGTAATGTATGGAAGTAAACTTCCTTTACAATTTAGAAATGCAGTGCAGAATCTCTCTTTCTTTCTTACAGTCTGTTGTAGTCGAAGAAGCCTTATAGTAACTTATAATACTTATTTGTTGTTTACGATGCAATGTCACTTTGTGACTTTAGAATGAGACAGAAGTAGAACTGTAAGAAATATCATGATGCGTGTTGCTTCTTTTTATCCCGTTCTATTGATGTCATTATGTGATGCTACTGATTCTCCTGATCACGTGCCAAAAAAGTGTCCATTTTTTGTTCCTATGATTATCATGTACAAGATTGTCAAGTTTATTCTATGGGTAAAAACCCAAGTGACCCATGTACAAACCAAAATTGTTGTGGGAAAGCAGTTGCAGTCTGTACACACATAACGAAACATGCAAATACTGATACATATATACACACAGCAAACAGATTTTTAGATCCCAAATTTTTTCTTGTACCGGTACATACGTGATGTTTTTTCTTTGTATTTTGATTTCATTTAAAACATGTACTATAACGTAAAGATTTCTGTGTCCGGCTGATTTTCCTCTGTGCATGCTAGACAGAAGACTGTTGTGTACAGCAGAGGTCTCAAACTCTGTCGGGACTGTTGGGGGTAGAGGCAGAGTGAGTCAGGGACACAGCCAATTAAATATGATGATCAAGTATTCGGGCAAAGAAGAAAAAAAGGTTTCAAGCAAAAAAATATAAAAAATAAATATAAATATAATAACTGGTCTAAACTGCTCAATCTTACTGAAAGCTGGCCAGAACATGAATGGTTTTACGATGGCCCATATATATATATATATGTGAGGCATCGTGGTGAAATCAGGCACTCATCAAAATAATGAAATCAAAGAAACAGGCATTTTCCCTCCAGTTTTTCAATTTTTGTCGAATTTTTGTTTTTTGGCTCAGCACGTTATATGTCCATACAAAAATACACTTCCATGTGAATTTTACTGAAAAACATTGATTAAAAGCAAAGATATGTAAATTTTCCGTTGTCAAGGACTTTCAAGCTATAGAAGTTACCATACTTTGGCAACCATTTTCTCGCTAATTTTACCTGAGAAAGCATGCTACTCGCGCCTTTTTTCAATCGCAAATATCTCGACTTCTATTCAAGATAGATGGGTATTTTTTCACCGAAAGAAGACAAATAAACAAGCTTTAAGATTATTATTGTACCAACCACTCCATATGCCCCAAAATTGACAAACGGCTGATTCCCGTTGTTTTATGCAAGAAAAATTGTGAAATTATGCAAACTGAGCCCAAAAATGTGAAATTATGCGATTCTGTTAATTTTATCAAAGAATGATTTAAGGAAAATAATCAGAAATTATGCAAAAATGGTCCAATTTTGCTAAATTATCTGTGTTTGGTTGTGGGAGTTTGAGATAGCTGCTGTTGTGTGAGTTTGTTGAGACAGCTGCTGTTGTGTGAGTTTGCTAAGAAAGCTGCTGTTGTGTGAGTTTGTTAAGACAGCTGTTGTTGTGTGAGTTTTTTGAGACAGCTGCTGTTTTGTGAGTTTGTTAAGACAGCTGCTGTTGTGTAAGTTTGTTGAGACAGCTGCTGTTGTGTGCGTTTAAAACAGCTGCTGTTGTGTAAGTTTGTTGAGACAGCTGCTGTTGTGTGAGTTTTTTGAGACAGCTGCTGTTGTGTGAGTTTGAGACAGCTGCTGTTTTGTACAGCTGCTGTTTTGTAAAGCTACTGTTGTGTGAGTTTGTTGAGACAGCTGCTGTTGTGTGAGTTTGTTGAGACAGCTGCTGTTGTGTGAGTTTGTTGAGACAGCTGCTGTTGTGTGAGTTTGTTGAGACAGCTGCTGTTTTGTACAGTTTGAGACAGCTGCTGTTGTGTGAGTCTAGCAGTGATCTATGTCTAGAGAGGACTGGACTGTGTCTTGTGTCAGATTTATGCTCAGAACCTGTTGTCACCCTAGTCTATCATGTATGGTGGAGTCTTGGTTTTTTTTAGTAAGTGCTTTACGGCACTTGCAACACAATAAGGTCATATAAGTGCCGAAGATTAGAGGTGTTACAAGAGAGTATCAAACATAAAAAAGAAGGAAGGGAG